CAACTCAAGGTCAAACTGCTAATATCATAAAATAGATCTTTTTAAACCCTACAACTTTTGTATTTAACATTTTTTTATACAACGCTTTGTTTTCGAGATATTCAGGTGTTCCGGTATATAATATTCACCCTGTATTGCACTAGTTCAGCAGTGCAGCTACAAAGAACAGACCTAATATCATACATTTAAACCGATATTCATAGGCCGATATTCATAGTCGGATTTTATTTTTAAGCCTGTTTAAGTTCATCTTCAGATACTCCGTAGCCAATGAAATGATCCGTTCATCATCTGAAGATAAACTTAAGATGGTCTTAAATATAAGATTTGACTATGGGTGCTTTCCAATTGCTTACACACACGTACACAAAACGTAACTGGAAAGCACCCTATAAATACCGGCCACAGATTTTATATTTAAAACCATCTTAAGTTCATCTTCAGATACTGTACGAATTATTTTACTGGTTACGTAGGCCAGTATTTATAAGCCGATCTTATGTTTAAGATCATCTTAAGTACTGTCTTAATATGTCATGAACCAATCACAAAGCCGTATTCGCATCTTAAGATATTACTTAAGGGGATGCTGAGTATACCGACAATTCCCTAGCTTTCGTAGTTCAAACTTTTCTCCTAAACGACTGCATATAGCTGCAAATGCTTTTACAGTGTAAAAGTACAGATATTAATGAATGGCTATGCACTCATAATATGAAAAACAAAAAAAATATTTATATTTATCTGACACCATATCATATTTTTGCTTCGTATGAAAAATTCTTCGTACGCAGATAAAAATGAAAGTGCATAGCCATGCAGAAAACATTACAGAATATTATGAGGCTTTCAGAAAATGATTTCAAGGTCTATGTTAAACAAAAAGTTTGAATTATGAATTGGTTGCACATGTGCTATATAGGGAGCGGTGCACTTGGACACGGTGCATTTGGACACAGCCAATCAAAGCACCGTGTGATTAGAGACATTTATAGGGTCCCTTGGAACAGTGACTTGTGATTGGACTGTGTCCAATTGCCCCGTGTCCAAATGATATACACCCGCGTATATATAATCATATGATAAATAGAATGTCATCCTAGTTCCAATATTTTCCGACAGTGGCGCTCGTATTACTGCATCATTCTGTCCTTCTTTCTCTCTTGGTGAACAAGGATAGAATAATTGTTGCGGTGATGAAATCGCCAAACATAATGTAGCTATAACAAGAACAAAGCATCCGTTTTACCAGCACAGACTTATAAGCACTTTTTCAGTCCTTTTGTTGGACGTTATACAAAAGCAAGAGCCTATCTACATAAAATGCAAGACGTCGGATCCAAATCGATTCCGACGATTCCCAATAGTACCTAGACAACGTTTTATATTCTCACTTGGTATGAAAAATTCTTTGTACCTAGATAAAAAAAATGACAGTGTATAGCCATGCAGGTGATATTACAGAATATTATGAGGCTTTCACATAACGATTTCAAGGGCTACGCTAAAGGAAATGTTTGAACTACGAATTGGTTGCACGCGTGCTGGCGTATATGTGGTCATTAGGGCTTATTTACATAAGGCATCTAGGTAGAGTACCGATTTATCACGTGCACATGCAAAAATCCACCGTATCAGTGCACTACAACATTATAAATCCTCCACATTACAAACTAATGGGCTGCATAAAAAAAAAATTATGATAACTTCTGGCTCCTGCACATAGGACGCGGTAGTGCTTGCCGCGCGGCGGAAGTTCGCGCGACAGCCAATCAATATGTTGTTTTTCCGTAAGAGCTAGAAGATTATTACGGAAAACAGCATATTGATTGGCTGTAACGCGAACTTCCGCCGTAGCCGTGGCAGTAGCCATTCGAAGTGGTTACCTCTGACGCTTCTCATTGGCTGTCGCGACAAGCTAATGATCTGCATGCTGCATCCTGGGATCTGATTCTCAATATCGTGCGAATAAAATGAGAATGTGAAAATTAGTATTATATATAACGTGAACTAAACGATTTTCATTTGCGCATCTCATTCATACGATGTCCAGAATCGGTATCCTACATCTTAAATGAGTCCGAATAACCTATATATACGCCAGCACGCGTGCAACCAATTCGTAGTTCAAACTTTTCCATTAGCGTAGCCCTTGAAATCATTTGGTGAAAGCCTAATAATATTCTATAATGTCACCTGCAAGGCTATGCACTGTCATTTTTTTATCTAGGTACAAAGAATTTTTCATACCAAGTAAGAATATAAAGTTGTCTAGGTACTATTGGAAATCGTCGGAATCGATTTGGATCCGACGTCTTGCATTTTATGTAGATGGGCTCTCACCTTTGTATAACGTCCAACAGAAGGACTGAAAAAATTGTTTATAAGTCTGTGTTTGCAAAACGGACGCTTTTTTCTTGTTATAGGTACATTGACTACGTTTACACGGCTTCTAACTTCGACTTAGTAACGCTAATGTTATAACTCCGACTTAAGATAAGTTGCGTTTACACGTTCACGCTTATGTTA